GACTTTCAAAGAAAACAAATGCCAAAAAAAGAAGTAAACTAGGTTGAAATCAACAACTGCCTTCTTCATTTCTGAACATACAATCATTTTAATAGACTGGTTTACCCTATGACAAAGCATCCTACACTCTATTTTGACGCACAGTGTATGCGGGACCATTTTGTGTAATGTATTTGCAGGTTACTACGTATATATATCAAATCTGTAGGCTGACTTGATACCGTCCACACTGGTGTCATTCATGACTAAACAGATGATATGAATTCACAGTGATGTGTCTTGTGATACTAAGGTTTTTTCACTCTACAAAGACTGTTTGTGACTGTCTCTGACTTCATTACGCTAGTAGTAATCAGAAGCATATTCTGTAATCTTTAACTGTTAATGCAAAATTAGCAGAGCAGTCATCAGAACCCAGATATTCAGAAGCCCTAGATTCCCCACCTGTTGTTCAGAAGCAGGTATTTTGGTTTGTAAAAGCACATGTGGTAAGTTGAATTTTTTTACTCCACTACAAGTCAGTAAAGTTTGTGAACAACATGCTTTAGAGATTACAAAAGCAGATGATTTGAACAGCAAATGGTAAAACTGTTTCTAGCTGAGGCAGATTTAGGGCATTTCCCACTTGCTCAGAGAAGGAATATTCCCATTTGCTAAGTTGGCAAAACATCTGTCTACTTTTCTGCAGGTCCAGAATAACATTTTAATTGCAGTAAAGTTCATGAGGACACACAGAGCACGTTCACGTCCCCGTCAGGGAACTCTTGCATCTGGCAGTTGTTTGTCAGGTGTAGCAGCTGCTAAGCAGAAACACTACAGAGGAGAACAGACAGAGCATTCTGTTGCTATTATTATATCTAATTATTCATATGACAAGAGCTTTACACTGTCAGTTCATTTTATTTGTAGATTTCATTCAACTTCTGCTAAACAATTGTTAGACAGAATGGCAGGGTTTCTGTGTCTCTGTTTCTGTTTACATTAGTGAATTAGGTGCATTGTTTCTTCAGTTTATATAATGAAGAAATTAAATGAATGAGGAAATCGAGACCTGTATCTAGACCATGCACACGAGTGCACAAGGAGGTAGGAGGACATAGGAGATCTTTCTGCTACCCTTTTAGCCAGGGTGAGCAGAAAGCCTCCATTTCCAAAATCGTTATGGAGAGATGTTCTACATTGCATTTGGAAAGGCAGTCAATTACTATCCTTAACTTGAAATTCACAGCCATTTCAACAGCTCCTTCATTTCTGCTTTTCCGACTGTAGATTTCCATAGGAGTCAAGCTGCTGAGTTAAGACAGAAGCAGCAGTGCAGGAAAAGCTTCTGTCATTATGTGGTACTTCAGCTTCAGATGAAGACCTAATTTGTTTATTTACTCTGGACAAAGTAAAAGGTCAGCTCTTAAATGTGTTATATATCTGAGTCGTACAAGGCACAAGCCACTTTTTCTTCAGGAGAGCCTGGAAAATGCTTCTAGCCTACTGACTATAGTAGTAAGAATAGTGGCTGGAAATTTCCATACATGTCATATGGCTGATAACAGGCATAATTTTTTATTTTTTCTTTTACATAGCTGTTATCAAAATTCATTGTTTGTAGCTCCATTTTTTGTAGTCATGTAAAAGTGGTCATCATAGGATGTCTGTAAGTGTTAGCTGTCTCTCCAGAAGCTTTAACCAGTAGCTAACCACCAAAGTTTTTGGTGGCAACAAACCTTAGGGTCTAAAATAGAACTGAATTCCTATGCTGAGCTCCATTAAGAACTCTGGTCTGTTTTCTCCTGTGTTCTAGTTGAACCAGAAAAAATAATGAGAGAAAAGTATTTCCATTAAAGCAGAAATTTGTGGAGGAAAGAACAACTTTGTTATGAAAAAATATTGTTTTATAGATATGATGCATCAGGAAAAAAAATCTCAAATTCATCAGAGACCAAAAAAGCACATTTTAATCATTCAGTGAGACTGTTCCCTCACATAATGTGATAATAAAACAGACATTAAGTTCCAACTACCCAAGTAGTACCACCAGTTTGTGGGGCCACATTTGCAGTCAAGACATGTCCTACTTGGCGCACGAAATGACATAATTTTCCCAAATTTTTAGTTAATGGTAACAAGTGGCTAAATTTCTTTTTTACAGCCTCTTGTCAGTTTGATCTTTAAACCACCAAAGCTTTGAGTTTCTCTGGACTAGATCGGGTAAGCTTTAATAAACAAAGCTTGAGGGACTTGAAGAGTGGACATCTGGGGCCTTAAATTTATGGTCCTTCAAAGTCATGTTGGAGTAACCAGAACACAGAGGGGATTAACAAAGACAGTACAGTTGGAGACTCTCTGTCTAAGGAAGAATGATAATGGGACCAAAGAATGCAGACCAAATTAGCCAGTGAAAGTTAGAATACTAATTAAATTAATTGTGTAACTTAGAACCAATGAACGTTAATTTCTTTATTTGCTAAAATGTATAAATACATGAAAAGCCTTGAAAGGGACATGTGGCTGGAATGATACACTACGTTTCTCTGGTCAGAATAAAGTAATGCTTGTCTCACTATCACTTAAAAGGTAGTCTTGGATTCCTTTCTTCCTTTCTTCCGAATGATTTTTGGTAACAGTAGGATTGAGAATAGAGTGTGCACTTCTCCACCAAGCCACCTCCCCACTAACCACAACAGGTGAGAGCCAAGGAATGAGATCTGGATGCCAGAATCTAGCAGAGAACACATCTGAGGGTGACTTTCAGCTAAAGGATTCCTAGGCTGTGGAGCAACTATAGAAAAAATAAAGACAAAAATGTTGGTTTCTGTCTGATGATTTCACAATCACTCTGTTTAAGCCCATCTCAAATTGTATTTATTGTCATTTATAGTGGAATCTACAGGGGGACCTGTGTTGCAAAAGAAAAAATTTGAGATTGGAAGATATTAATAGTAGAGCTAAATATTTGTACACAGTTCTTGCAAGTTCTGCTTAAACTTCCTAAATGTCAAAATGTCCTCCTATCTTTCTTGGTGTGGTTTATAACACCTTTGTATGAAATCTGACCTAAAATTTGATAGTCCTTCTCCATCAAATGCCACAGTTCAAATAATACCAAAGATTTGGAAGAAGAACCTGCTACGGAAGCACTGATTCTCTCAGAAGAATATCTTTCCTGTATCCATACCGTATTTATCATTGATTCAATGACAATGGAACAACTAGGAACTTTAAAAAGAGATTTAAGTTTTGCAAGAAAAATAACTAATGGTAGTTTTCGAGGCTCATTTTCAGGAATTGCAAACAGTCCCTCTTCATTGCAAACAAAGACAAAAAAATCAACATGAAAACTTCAGAGAGTCATTTCCATTCTTGGACCTCCACATGAAACAGACTCGGCAGCAGCAGAGATACCCTGTCCTGAAATTCCTCATACATTTATTTCTCTTAGTTCCCACTAGAGAGATGGGCCATCTTTCTGTGTTGGGCCTGTTGAAAAATATAAATAAGATAAGTATAGGGATTAAAGGAACCTGGCATTCAGTTACATTGGAAAGAACTAGCAGTCTAGTGAAATTCAATTTAGTGCTGCTCTTCCTCATGTGATTCATAGCCAGTTGTTAAGTACCATAGGTATGCTTTCCAGACTATCCATGTTTATGGATAGCATCTCTGGATAATATCAGCTAAATAAAACTTCAAACAAATACTATTAAACTTCTGTCATCTTTTGACTCAGAAATACATATTTATATATATATATATATATATACACACACACACATATATATATGATAAAAAATCCTTATAGCTATTTTTATACGGAGGTATGTACTTTCAGTATTCTGGACAAACTCCAAGTAGATCACTGAATGCAGCATTGTTAAATTTTGGATGTGGTAGTCTTCCCCCCACATTGCTCTGCTCTGTTAACAACTTCTGAGTTCTACTGCTGAGCTGTCAACACTTTATTAGTGAGTGGCCTTATTTAAACACATCTCTTAAATGTTCCTTGGAGGTAAGAAAGGTTTAATTATATAGTTTTATTAGAATTACTCAGAGATTATTCTAAAGAAATGTAAAGGATTTATAAGTACTGTGAGTGGGCTTATGTTTTCTTAAATTTTATTCTTATATTACTGAAATTTTTTTGGCTTGGTATATATCCATCTTAAGTTTTTGGATGGGCAGTAGTTATTTTGGGGCTTTAATTCTGAGGGAATTAGTGTTAATGACACATAAGCAGCCCTTTTTGGGGTCAGATTTATTCTATGTACTATCTGTGGTAGTACCTACGGGTTACTGTTTGCAGACTGTATGAAAATTCTGCTGCTGAGCATGTAAATGTCTACCAAAACCCTCTATCTGACCTGAAGCACAGATCTTGCATGCCTTCCTCAAACTTTCTACTATGTAGTATTTTTGACATATCTTTTTGAGACAAAAATAGTGATTTAGAATATTATTTTGCATCTATGGCTTTCAGGAGAAAAATATATTCACTGCTTTCTTCCTATCATTTTTTTCTCCCCAGAAAACCACATCATTATTGTGATAGTAGACAGCAGATACTCCAGAGATAATAATGTATAATAATGCAGCTTAGGTCTCATTTCACATATGGGAATAAAAGTGATGAAAATAAGATAAAGGACTTTCAGTTAGTTCCATTGTTACTAGCTAATGTTACCTCTAGTACTCTTTCTGCAGGTTTCTTTTATTCAAAACCTGATAAATCCTTATATGTTGTTTGTTCTCTGTCTTCAGATCATTGTTGAAAAAAAGACTCCAAAATCTTGTGAAGCTGGGTTTTTTCCAACTGGTCTTGCACATAACAGCTGACTGACTCCTGTATAAGGAAGTTGATCTGCATATACTGTGATTTCCCATACACCCATTAGCTGACAAAAAATGTCATCCAATCCCTGGATTGCTGTACTATTTTTAATTTAAGATAAGGTGGATATCAGTTTTTGCGATGGAAATATTTATGTATATACAAATGTATTCAATCCTAGATGGAGAGGATATTATTTCATAAAGCCTTCAGGATGAGAGAAACATAACACTCTTGTGTGCCCCTCGGGAGAATTTAATAGTCATGACTTCCCAAAGCAAATCTTTATGAGACCTGGAGGCAGAAAAGCCATCACTGGACAAAGAAGAGGTAAGACTGGTTTGACTTTTCCACATGAACAGTAAACCATAACTGAGTCTAGAGGCAGACAGAGAATGACCAGGCAGAGTGCAGGGTATTGGTCTGTTTAATTGCTGAGCTAACTGCAAGAGGGTGAATCATTAAGTCATTTAGGCTCTGTCAGTCTCAGCCACCATACTGGGAATGACATCACACAGTCTGATTCAGAGAAACTCTTACTATGAGCAGGGAAATAATGTCAGTAAAGTCTTGTCTGGACTGACTGAAGAATCCACACTGAAGCTGGATGAAATCGCTGCCTTATACCAACAGAAGCCTTGGATGGTGATTTAGCCACTGGGGCAGGGATGTCAGGTTCTGTCACAGCCAGTGTCTGGATGAGGCTGGTACACAGCAGCCCCAAGCAGGTACAGAGTGGGTTAGACTGGCATCACCAACAGAGGAGGGAGGCCTTCCTTTTCTGTTTGCTAACAGAGAAATGGGTACATTTTGATCTATAGAGGAAGGAAAAGCTTGGAAGGAGACATTATGCTTTCTTCTTCTGACACTGGTTGTTTCAAAACCATTTGGATCAAATGATGCAGTGAGATCCAGCTTTTCCCCCACACTTCAGCACACTGTTACTATCATAAATTCAGTTATTTACAACTCTAATTTGCAATCACTTCCCCAGGTCACTCATTTGCTATCAAAAAAAAAAAAAAAAGAGATGCCAAACATTGTCCAAAAGGATATACACATACCATAGCACCAGGGAAAAATGAAAAATATGAAGTCTTCCCCTTTAGCTACCCTTAATCACTTTAGAGACTGCTTTTTAGAACAGGGAAACACTGAGTCACCAGCTGAGTACCCAGCACTCTAATATTTGAACACTGTTTGATAGGTTGCTTTGTACAATATAATGAATCATATGTCTTCAGTCACATATTCTTTTGTGGTTGATATTATTATTATTATTATTATTATTATTATTATTATTATTATTATTATTATTATTATTATTTCAGTCTTACTGTATTCCTCAAGAAACTATAGGCATCAAAACAAGTAACCCTCCATATACTCTTCTAATCTTTTTTTCATTCCAGCTTGGATTTTGAGCACTTTGGCTGAGCTAATTCAATTTACAGGCTCATTAACCAGACTGCAAATGAAAGGGGAAGACAGCACATCTCCACGGGAACTCTCAGTGTCACAACAGTCCCTGGGTCTTAAAACCTCAAGAGCCCCTGGTGCAGCATCAGTCTGCTCAAAATAGGATCCAACAGGTCAAGAAAGTGGCAAAGAAACTGAAAGGAAAATTGTAATGTCTTTTCTTCCAATAAATACTAAATTACATGTGAATTTCTCTAAAAGCTTCCTGGTCAAATCTTTACAAATAATGACTTGACATGCCAACAGGCTTTTATGCTAAATTTCTTTTTTTTTTCTGATTTATCTTAAAGCTGATTTGAAACAAAAGAAATATTTTTCTTCTCTCTTGGAATCTCTCTCTTTCTAGCTCTACTTTGATTTGTCACAGCTGAGGGACAGTAACAGCATTCAACACTGTTTTCAAAAGGCATATCTGAGCACTGCATCCTGAGCCTGTCTGTACAAGCTTTTCAGCATAGATAGCCAAATCATTACTGATCACATGCTTATTTCACCTTTTAGTTACAAGATTCTTTCTGTGAATGTGAGATTCCTTCATTTATAAGTGGTTTTCTGGTCAGAATACCTTTTGTGTTTTACTGTAACTGTTTGCTTACTATTTCATATTTCTTATTTCTTTGCTCCATGGAGCTGAGGAGACTGCTGAATTATATCAACTCCCAAAGGATGCAGCCTTCAGCTGAAAACATATATAAAAATGACTATTTCATGTGTGGTGCATATTCGTCAGAAGCAAATTCAAACACAGTCTCATTTTACTAAATTCTTACATTTGAAGTAAGTATTCACAAAGGTGAGGTTCAGTGGCAGTCTTAATTCCAAGTTCACCGGGAACTCAGATGTCCCCATCACCTCCCATCCCCATGCTGAGTTCAAAATATTGACTGAGCTGCAACATATTTAATTTAAAATTTTGCCCTTAATCTGCAGTTAACAACACACACCCGCACTCTCAAACAAACCCCATTCACAAGCAGTGGCCTTTATACCTGGCAGTTAAATGCCTGGTGACTAAATCTCAGCTCTTTGAGTGCAAAAGCTGTTGCATTGTCCAGAACTGTTCCTGGAACACTGAGTAGAATAATGATTCCTGATAAAATAGGCACCTGAGATGTCTGACACTGCAATGAATTTTCATAGACACGCACTCTCACTAGAATACCTTTTATTGTGGTCTCCAAAGGCATGCATTTATTGGATGCAAAAATCTCCTTTCTGCTGGCACTTCAGTTCCAGGCCACATAATTTGTGAGATTTACCCTCACAAATCTTTCTATGTCTTACATTTTGAGGGGCAGATTCTCATTTTTCTGCAGCAGGCTTTGTTTATTTTCAGTAGCAATAACCTGGATGAACGCTAAATCATCTGAGCAGGTGAAGATTCCTTTATAAAAAGTGAAGTATTTTGGTGATTTAGCTCTAGCACAGAGATCAGATCATTTAAGAATGTCACAGTGAGTGACAAGACTGGGTAAATAGTGTACAATTTTTAAATGTGCATATTTATTTTCTCTTTGATCTTGATCCTGTTATTGCATTCCTTCATTATTTTCAAATATTCCCTTGCAACAACACAGAGTTCAATCACATTTTTCCGGGAAGCTGAGATCTTCATGCAATCTTTTTACTGCAGTAGTTGTACAATTGCTCAGGACCATGTCCAGTCAGGTTTTCTCTCTTTTGCTGAAGATCACCAGTTATTGTGATACAGGAAAATTGTAAGAATTGCCAAATCTAGTCTCTTAGGGTGAGGTGCAACAAGGTGCATACAGCATCTTGCATCTTTCATGAACATCCTCAGTATAGTCTATCATGTAAGGATAGGCTAGCAAAAGATATAGTCATCAACTCACATCAGAAGTTCTCTTCAGTGAGAAGAGATCTCAATATCTGGCATCTGACAATCCATCAGCCACCTGCTTACATGGATTTCTATGAACAATTCTTACCAAGTCTCTATTACTTCCATGTATAAGCACTTAACCTTATTTTAGAATATCCTCACAATGTGATGCAAAAGCATTCATCAGTTATCCACACTGCTTAACCAGAGAATAGCTGGAAAACAAGTTGTCATCCCTTGCTGTGGGAGGACTTGCGATTTAGGGTGATCTCAGGGGTGAACTTCTTTACAGACGCTGACTACAGAACTATCTATAGTTCACATGGCCTTAATTGCCCTACCTGGTATTTTAGTGATAGCATTTTGATACTTCATTACAGACCAGGTCAACACAGACCTTTCTCAGAGGGATGCTCACGTTACCCCCCTACAAGGGTAGATAAGGCTTGTGAAGGTTGATGTAAACAAAATATGGATGCCAGCAGCTAATGGAAAAAGCACTCTGATCTTTGAAGTAATCAAATATGCCATTTCCCAGACCGTCAATAATATTTAGGCACTTCAGTCCTCCTGTACAGACCTAAGTCTCATAATAGCATATGGAGTATCCGAGCATCTTAAAGGCAGACCACCAGTATGGTACTATATGGCATTGACTTGATCTGGCCCACTATGGTCACTATGGTTGGGCCACTCTTTCTTGATAAAAAAAGACTCTAGACCAACTACCAAATTTTATTTTTGTTGTTTCACTCCTTTCCTTTAAAAATACCAAAAGCACACAGTAAGGCACAAGGTTAAAGCCTCCCTGAGTCAAGAGAGGGTCAAGTGGTGAGGTGAGGGCTTTTTCTGCTCTCTCCCTTTGGCAGCTTGACAGTGCAGGGCAACACAGAGTGTAGGAGGGAAACAAGTAATAATCTGCATGAGTAAATGGGATAAAGTTTCTGTCAGAAACAGTAAGGGCAGGGTTCTTTGGTTTTGGAATCTCAGCTACAGCTTTAACAATGTATTTGGTTAGAGATTGCATTAAAATACTCCTTTTTAAAAAACACAATTTTTCAAATTTGGAGCAAAAATCAAGAAATTCGCACAGAATGCCTTTCCATGTTTTTATGAGCTCTGTATTACCATTATTTGTTCATGTAATACAGATTCATTTTTTTTCTGATAGCCAAGGATGTTAATTTTCATACATATTATGCTCACAATTATACAAAGAATACTTCAATCAAAGCTGAACACATTAGAAATTTGTACACTTTTGTTTATATATATTTCTGTTACTTAGGACACCACTTATCATATGATATGGTCCATAGGCATGAAAAAATGGTTATTGTGGAATAAAAGTAGGCATATAGTGTGACAATATCACTTACAGTATTACCATGACTGTATTACTGAAAATACATATGTGCAATAAAATACTGCTTTATACTTACAAATAATTGATTTGAATAAACATGAAGTTTAAGTCCCAGTTTTGGTTGTCTATGACTACATCTGGAGTAGATGTACACACATGCACACTCACCTGTAGCATTAAACCTGCATTATATGGGAAAACTGTGGTTTAAACAGGTTTTAAAATGGCTTTTGGTGGTGTCTTTGCAAACACATGCTTCTTCTTCCCAGCACCCCCCGTGTTATCTTATCCATGCAGGAATGTCCTGGGAAGGTGTCCTGAGGTGCTTCCCACTGGCCTTTGTTAACCTCTTCCTGTGATTGGGTGTTCCTGTAAGCCCCTTGAGACTTCTAATTGGTTACTCTGTGAATCCTCCTAAACCCTATAAATGTAACATCCCCCACAATAAAAGCTCTCTTGCCTCCTCTCCACGCCCGGTGTCCTGTCTCCCTACCGGCCATGGGGCCACGTGCGGAGGGGGAGGGGGGAGCACCTTTCCCCTCCAGGCTCAGGGACTGAAAAAGCCCTGGGAAACCCCTGGAGTTTCCCTTTCCCTATCCCTCAAAGCGTCGCAATGGTTCTTCAGATGGAGACGGAACTAGAACTGGGCCAGCCCCACGCCGCGGGTGGGGAAAGGGATCCAGACTCACTGGAATTAAATGCCTGAATGTGTCTTTTTTTTTTCCTTTTTGGAAGAAAATGAAAATTGTTTCCTCCCTGTGAAGCATAGTTGTAGCCCTTATTTCATAAGACTACACTAACCAGCACACAAAATAACTGATTTCAAGAGCTGGCAGGTTTCCTTGGTGCACAGTAATTGAATTTGGTGCCATCAGATGTAATCAAGTGAGTGTCACTTTACCTCAAGTAAATTAATAATGCTGGTGATCTTTCATTTTTAAAAAACATATATTGATGTATTTCATGTCTATTTATGTCTGTATCACAACTTCTTTGGCATATGTTGTTCAATTTCACAAACTATTTGTATGTGTGTTTCAGTGTTATTTTGCAGTCCTTACTCCTCCCTTTCTCTGTCCAAGCTTGTCCCAGCTTGAAATATTTTTCTCTAACTTTTTGGCACAATTAACTAGAAAATAAAGCAGAATGAGAAATATATTAATTGGTATAATAATTTCCATTATTTTCATATGCAATGCTTTCATTAGGAGAAAATACTTTATTATGACAAATTATCTGAAAGTCTTTTAATCAAATTCAAAATTCATGGCAAACAGAGTAGTCAGGGCAGAAATGTTTGCATATTGAGCAAAGTTTTCACAGTCCTTTTTCTTTTCTTGATTGCTCTGATCCCCTGCTCAGTCTGCTTCCCCACCACTCAAGCCTCACTGCTTCACCTGCCTTCCAAGTCTGATCTCTTTTGTTGATCCTTCCTTGGAGGAGCTGAATCTCTCCATTGCTTTTTACAGTAAAATAAAATTATTATTTAGAATATCTGGCTTGTAAACTTTCAGCAGTATAAGTATTTGTTTTCAGTAAGTCCTGGTTTATTAGCTATATACAAGAAATATATCGTTCCTCTGACCAGAACAAGATAGATTACAACCAAGTCATTTCCCAACAAATTATCAAACTATGCAATTTGCTGTTTCATGATCAATAGGTGGTGTAATGCAAGAAGTGATTTCATACCTCTCTGGCTCCTGTAACGAAATAATTTTATTACACCAGAATCATATGTATTATCCTCAAAGTAACTGGACAGTTGAATGTGTTATCTTGGGAAACATACATATTGCCAAAGTGAACTGCCTGATACTTTAACAGTGCTTTCTTTCAAGTTAGACCTGAGAAAGCTATCTGTCTTCAGTGTTTCTAAGAAGCTAGTATTTTAAGGGGAGAAGTGTAATAT